AACCATTCTGTGAATCTATGATTTTTCAGGCTTTTGTTGGGATTTTGACTTGGAATTTTTTTTTGTGTTTTTACATCTCAAGTTCATCCAAAGTTCATCATTTCCAATACTTTTTCAGGCTTTTGTTGGGATTTTGACTTGGAATTTTTTGTTTGTGTTTTTACAACATCTCAAGTTCATCCAAAGTTCATCCTTTCCAATACCATTTTGCTTGGCTTCTTAAGTTACTTTTGCTGATGCCTTTGTGACATTTAACATCATTTCAGCTGTGGTTGATATTCCAACCTTTTAAGCATTATTTATAGCAAGTTTTCCATCACAACCTCATCAATTCCTTTAAAATTTACTTTTGAATGAGTGTACTAATACATGTATGATGCTTTAAAAAGACAGCTATTGTAGAAGGAAGTTCCCTGCTTTTTGCTGCATTTTTCTCTGTGCAGAGCTGTATTCAAAGTGCAGCTTTAGTTCTATGGCTGCTAGACAGTGTCTCACCCTACTAACAATATGCTTTTCTCTGTGCATCAGCTACAATTACCTCTTGTGGATGTCCTTTGGTGGAATTTGGGCTCTGAATGCTTTTACAGTTTGGCAGAGGTTTTTGACTGAAGTTACCATCTCACTTCCCACTGTACAAGTTCATGTCTTCAGGGTTTTGTCTGCTGTTACAGGATCTTTGTTGGTACTATTGGAAAGAACAAAAGCTGTTGCAAGACTTTGTGTAAACAGAATTACTACCTGTAATGTTAACATACCATAGTTAATGCTTCATTTTAACATGCTCGTTACTGTTGCTTTAGGTCAGAGGTCCAGCTTAAAGTACTGGTATGAGAAGGAGTGGCTAAGTAATGGTCACATGCATGGCTTAGCATTTTTGGAAGAAAATTATTCCCACCAGAATGCCAAGAAGATAGTAGCCACTCATCAACTTCTTGGCGATGTACAGAGAGTGATAGAAGTACTGCATGGACTGCAGCTGAAGATGAGCATATTACAGTAAGAAGTATTTAAGTATCAGTCGGCATGTTCTCAATACAAATTAAGATTTCAAATAGTAGAAAAATAACCAGAAATTCAGACATACGTTTGTGCTTCTTTGTGGATATATAACAACATAGTTGGAATTGCTAACATGATCTTGGCTGCTTAAAAACTATTTCACTGTGTTGCGTGTAAATTAACTGTGCATAGAAGAGTTGGGAAAGTATGAAGGAAAGAGGGAGAAAACTAATAAAAGCAGCAGCTTTTCCTAATTTTCCTAAAACACCTAAATAGATCGAAGTAACAAGAAGAGGATAGCAGTATAACCTATGGCAGCATTTTTATAGGACTTGCCTTCTCTGTGCCAGTAATCCTAAATCATACCTTTTCCAGCAGAAGCCACATCTTTTGGTTCAGCATAATGGGTTCTGTTGTAGTCACCTTCAGCAACCTGCAGCAATTAATTTCTGTACAAAGATGATGACAGAAATGTATGAAAAAGCATTCTGTGATCACTGTAGAAATCTAACTTTCTGCATCTTTTCCGGTTTAAAGCCATCCTTGGGTTCTGATGACTGAAAAAATCTGCTTCTGACTCAAATCCAGCAGTTGTAAATTGAATTCCGATTACTAGTTGAGAAATTGCACAGTGGCAGCTATTTGGAAAGCAAAGCTTTTAGTGTTTCCAGCGTTCCTCAGGACCTTTTCCCTTAAACTGAACCTGTGGTAATGCAGTAGGGCCACTGGCAGTACTTGAAATGCTTCAAGCAATATTAACCTTTCCTTTAGCTATTCCTTTATGGAATCCTTTAGTCAGATCTATGAGTAGTCCCCTTCCTCTCTGGGGAGGGTGGAACGTAGATAGTGTCAGACCACTCCTTAAGCCTCTTCTGAAACAGCAAGACCAGATTGTGACACTGCAGTTGTAGATTGAGATTTGCGTAGCGTGGAGGCGTGGAGCACTGGGCACGTGGGGCTTGTTACAGACTTATTCCTTTCCTCTCCCATCCTGAAGCTGGTGTGATGACCTAATTAAAGATGAGGTGTGGTCCTGTTAGGATGGTCTTGTTAAAAGCTATAGCCCCTGGCTTAGAAGAATGATTATGTTGTTGCTGCAGATCTAGGGGAGAGGTGGTGAATTCACAGCTGCCTGAAAATACCAGGAGAGTGTTGCTCTGTGTTCCAAGGACGTGGTAAAAGATCGAGGTGACAGTGACAGCTTTGGTGGGAGGGAGAGCCAGCCTTGGGAAGGCAATAGTTAAAAGGTCGCTCAAGTATTAAGCATTCAATTTTCCATCCTTACGTAGCTGGTGCATCATCTTTCAGGTTTTTGTCTCCTGTAAAGTTGCCCTTTGCTGAGCAGAAAGTGCCTTTAGGCCTAGCATATTGGTAGGGTTGGAGCAGGAAGCTCTTGGCTTTCACTGTTTGAGGTGTGCTCAGGATTGCTACCCAGCACACCGCAGACGTGCCATCCCTGGAGGGAGAGGGGCTTGTGTAGGGTGGTCTGAGCAAGCCCTTGGCCATGGTACCAGCTGCAGGTGGTGCCCACAGATGCTGAGGAAACTTCAGCTACTGTAGAATGGGTTAGAAAGCAGTTGCTTTGGAAGTAAAGTGGTGGTGTTTTTTTGAGAGGTTTGGCTAAATGCTGGAAAAGCTGGGTCAGCTTAATGGAGTCATTCCATCTGCCTTTGTTTGCAAGGAGGCACAGAGTGGGGTTTTGGGGTAGACCCTCTCCTGGTGAATGCTGGTGCTTTCGGGTCAGGCTTTCCTTCTGCTAAAAAAGTGGATAAGCTGCCTACTTGAGGATAAGCAGAGTGGTTCTGCTTTGCTCTCCTTTTCACTGCTGTGTTAATGCCTGACAGACATATGGAAGAACAGTTTCAGTTACAATGCTCACTCTAATTTTTTGGATTTGTTATATCCATGTAAGAATCTGATACCTATAGCTGTTCCTGCTGTCGGAATAAATAATGTATTGGTCAATTTGAAAACATAAGAATTTTTATAAGAAGCAGGTGGGGGTACTATAGCATGTTGGTTTACTAGGCAGTAGTTTGCTCAGCATCTTGGGATTTAGAGGCAAGTTGAAGTTTTAAAGGAATTAATGAGTAAGTTCTACACCTCCACCTTAAGGCCCCAGTTGTTGCTGTTATTAGAGGGTTATAGAAGATCAATAGATGGATTTTTAAGTTTATTTTGGGGAACTGCAAGCTTAAAGTTTGATACTGAGTGTTCTGAGGAGGTTTTTTTTATTTTACTAGTGTTTAAAGTAGTTGAAATCTTAATTTAGCGTCAGTGTAATTAACTGTTTAAAATACTATTAAAAACATCCTAGCGAGAATGAGGTCATGCTTTAATAAATTGCAAATACTGAAGCAAAATGCTCCTCCAAGTGCAGCCTCTTTCTGCTGAAAAATTGAAAGTATCTATTTGAAACTTACTCAGGTTTTTTTTTCTTAATGCCAACACTTGGCCTATATACTGTGTTACAGCAATGAAAGTAGTGAGCCTAACAATGTAGGAAAATATGCAATTGAGGTCAGTGAAATGATATAACTTCAGAATATTTGGGTATTTTTTACTGACTACACTGGCAGAAGTATATAGGAGTTCAAATACTAGATTTCTTTACATAATAGGATAGTTTGCTCAGTCACTTTGAAGTTTAAATTTGGTTGGTGTTTTACTTTATGTTTGGACAGAAATAAAGAACATCCTGACCTAAAGCTTTGGTGTCATCCATGGAAGCACATTACAGTGGATGAAAAAATTCATACAAAACACATCATTCACACTGAGGAAAACTGTCATAAAGAGGAGACGGCAAGTTACCGAACTTGGAATGGGACAGTTGAGAAACCCTCAACCATTCCTTCTGTGGAGGAATCTTACATTACGAGTGAACACTGTTACCAGAAGCCTCGGGCCTACTACCCTGCGATAGAGCAGAGATTGGTTGTGGAAACAAGAGGTTCAGCCATGGACGATGGAGTGAATAGAATAAGGGAAAATGGAGATGATGCCCTGTCGGAGAGGCTTGGCTGGAATCTGGACCAAGAAATATGCAAGATGGAAAATGAATCCAAACATAATTATTCTAAGGTATTTGTATTAAAATAACCCTCTCCGCATGTAGGATGTGTTTGCCTGGCAAAGTGCAAAGCTCAACCCTTCTAATAGTATTTAGAATAAACACTAACAATGAGACAGAGAGAGAAAAAGGCAAGCCTGTGCGATACTACCAAATACCCTGGTATTCCAGCTTCTAGTTATTTCCATCTTGTTCCCATGTTTCTTTTAATAGTTACATTAACTAAATTGATTCCAGGTTCTTGAGGAAGCATTTCATGGTAGGGGAAGA